CGCGGTGATTTTCGCACAATAAAAGAAAAGGACAGATCTCTCATTTGGTGAACACGAGATTTACCTGAAAATCGAGGATCTCGAGACAAATGGAAGCGAGAAACAGTATAAGCAGTGATAATGAATTACTTTTCTAGCTGTCTGCGCGATTCTGGCAAGTTGAGAAGGATTCTGCCACACAAAAAAGAGAGTTAGAAGGGCGTCGAAGTGTTTCTAGCGTGATCCCTCCAACGATCAAGTCAGTACGTGAGAGAGGGGTGGGAAAAACACTGTTTTATTGTTTGAATCTAATTTGCATACTTTTGCCTTACATTTTTTTAGAATTATTTATATTTTCATAGAGACAATCATTGCAGACAGGTGGGTCTCTTGGAGGGAAAGCCCCCCATTGGTCCTTTTGGTGGGCAGCCTGTGGAGCACAGTCCTTGGGAAGAGTGTCTCCCTTATTACATGAAAAAGGATATTTGTCTTTAATGCTTGGGCACCTGAGCAGTTAATGCACCTTTCCCGGAGTCCGTCGAGCCATAAATGTGCCCCGTCAAATGGGCGGTCATTTAATGCTTGCTTGTGACAATTGCGCACGAGGGAGGACATTTTTGTCAATTGACCCCTGATTTTATACTCTGTGCCACGTGTAACATTGCCATTGGTCACGAACCTATCCCCTCTGTCTGAAAATGGATCTTGGGGGCGTTATCCATGCTGATGACACGTGTCATTAACAGATGGCCCGAGTGACCTTTGATGCCAAGGACACGTGTCACAATGTCAAACCACTTTGAGGTGATGTTATGTCGAGGACAAGTGTCACTCAGAGGGACTCTACAACACCCCGGTGCCGAGGAAACGTGTCACATGAAGATGGCACCGAGGACACGTGTCATTTTCTTGTTGATTCTCAAAAATTTCCAATCAAGTATGTAAGTGGGTACACCACAAACATATTTGATGTCAGTTATAACATGGCATTGCAGTGATTGGCAAATACATAATATAAAGACATGTATACTCTCAAAATAAAGATAACAATGACACTATAAAAAACATGTCATGGAACAACAAATGAAGTAGAATACGTGGTGTAGCATTAAACAAATTGGGGGATTTGCATGGTGATTTTAGCATAATGAACAAATTGACATATCTCTCCTCTGATGAACTCGAATTTGCCTAGAAAGTAGGATATTTTACAGCAAATGGGTGTTGAGAAATGGTAATGAATGGTGAAAATGCTCTTTTACAAACGATCTATTCACTTGTGAATCCTCAAGTACAGTCCCATCACTCAAAAAGAAGGGTTAGAAGGGCGCTAGAGTGTTTTTTGGTGTGACCTCTCTAACGATGAAGTCAATTTGTGAGAGAGGTTTGCGAAACACTATTTTATTGCTTGGGTTCTAGTTGCGTACCTTAGACCTGAGTTTGAGAGTGTTATTTATACCTCTTTGAAGTTAATCATTGCGGACAGTGGGTTCCTTTGGAGGGAAGACTCCTCATTGGCTCACTTGGAAGGCAACATGTGGTGCACAATCATCGAGCAGTGAGCCCTCCTTTTCATGTGGTATAAGCTTCTGCATTTAATGCTCGGATCCCCCGATCATTTAATGTTTGCATTTTTGACCTTGCCTAGTAATAAATATATCACATCCTCTTGTAGGGATCATTTAATGTACATTGATTGTGGCTGCGCAAGGACACTTTCGTCCATTACCCGCCAAGGGATCAAGATTTCAACGCCTTGTATTTCGTACACCCTTACTATTTTTGACATCGAGACAACGTGTTAGGTGGAGAGTCCCCCGGGGGGAGGGAAAGAAAATATTCATTACAACAGTGATATCACGTGATAAGGTGATATGGTATTACCAATCAATAATACTATAACAAATAAGTAGATAGACCCTACAAAATTAATAATTAACTTGTCATCAAGTGGGTTCATCTTGCCCATTTGAAGTTTTATTATTGATTGGTGATACCATGTCATCAATAATGATATGATATCACTGTTACATTTAATATTTACTCCCCGGGGAGACTTAAGCGTCGAGAACACGCGTTGAGCAGGCCACACTTCGAGGGGATATAGACGCCGAAGATACGTGTCAATGATGGTGCACTCCGAGATATTTATATCGAGGACACGTTTCGCCTCCCTATCAATCTTCGGTAACGTCCCATCAGGGGACACTTGGGCTTTTTTAGTTTAGAGAAACTACAAATCTTAGAAACTAAAAGGAAAAAGGGTAGTGTCAACTAAACCTATCAATAGATTATAGTTTGTGCTGAAAAAAAATTAGGATTAATTGCACTAGAGGTTCCCAAAATATGGAGTTTGTCTCATTTTGATCCCTAATATTTTAATTGCATCATTTTAGTCCCTGAAGTATTGAATATATTTTTATATCTTCTCTCAAGTTAACAGTGTCCAGGTTGCTAATGATTTTTTTATCATAAACTTGTCACAGAATACTTAAATGTGGATAAAAAAAATAATTTGGATAACTCTTGATCAAATGTTTACTTAAATTTTGGTTAAATACTTACCTAAATTACACGGTTTTGATTATGAGCTACCCAAATTTTAGTCAAAAACTACCCATATTATACATTTTTTTTGGTTAAGAAATACCCAAATTTTGTTTAAGAGCTATCAAAATTATTTTTTGTCCATATTTAGCTATTACGTGACAAGTTTATGATAAAAAATTATTAGTAATTTGGACGTTGTCTACTTGAAGGACTATATATAAATATACTCAATACTTCAAGGACTAAAATGATGTAATTAAAATATTGGGAGTAAAATAAAACAAATCTCATATTTTAGGGACCTCTAGTGTAATTAACCCAAAAAATTAACCATAGATGGAGTGATATTTTTGACCGACAACTCAATTGCAAATTTGAATCGGTAACGTAATTTTTTTTAAAGATTGAATCTGAATATATATATATATATTCGATCCAATCTGATTTGTAGTTTTGTGTACATAAATAATGACATTGAGTAAATGATATGATGAAGTTGAGTGAGAATGCAGATGTAATTTACTCAAATTCAGCTTATAGAGACTTATTTGGTTCCGCTTGAATTTTGGAATTGAATATTTTATCTTATAACATGGCATTACAGTGTTTTCCAAATATTAATTATGTTAAAGTTGGGATGCATTCATTCAACAGTTGACTTGAAGTCTATTGGAAGAAAGGTGGTGACGTGAGGGAGAGGGAGAGGTCAGGTTTGACTCTGCCTTATTCAACCTAAATTGTGTAATTCAAAATTGAATTTAAATCCAAAAAATAAAATAAAAAAAGAATGAAAAAGTAAATTAATTAGTTATCTTTCGAACAGACTAAAATCTATTCCTCTAAAATTAAGAGGCAAAGTAAAAAGAAAGTTAATTGAATCCCGTGATGATATAATATTAAGTTTAAATTATATTAAGCGTTAATACCAACCCGATTTATTATTACAATCATTTAACAACTAATATTATGAATTAATGAAAACATGTGGTAGGTAGTATTATTTTCAACATTACTTTTGTCATTTTTAATTTAATATCATACACTACTACCTAATTTAAACATGAATTTGGTATTATAATTATAAATTTATATCTTATCTTAACTTAAATTCAAACTTATTATATAAAGAATATGATCAAATAGTACTCTTATTAATATCATTGTGTATGAATTGAATAGAAATCAATTACCTAATTCTATCATTTATTTATACCTGAACCTATTAGCGATGGCTCTGGAACATTTTATAGAGATAAGATAATTGTCTTAATACTGCTTTAAGTGGCCCTATGCACCTCTCTCTATGCTTAATCTCTTCGTTAATTGCTCGATAAAAAATGTATCAGTCTTCATTTATCAACCTTCTATTTTTTTCCATTACCAAACACAAAATAAATTTTAATGGTAGTCCGGGTTAAGCTCTCTAGCTGTCCGAACCGCCTCAATTGCACCGGACAAATGAGAAATTTGGCGCCAAACCTTGAAGCCGAAGGCTGGTGGCATCTCAGCCCGATCCACAGAAGTCTCCCATTGTCTTCGGTCCTTGCTTCCATGTGAACTCTCTCTCTCTCTCTCTCGCAGAAACCCTAATTTCAACTGACTAACAAATCCCCTACACTTCTTTCCGCAAATGCCTACGTTTCTTCCTATTAAACAATCATTTTATTGCAGAAGCAGTCCATTAATTGCATTCAATTGTGATCCGTTCTTAGCTGCGTCCTTCTCGCTTTCATCGATCTAACTCTAACCCAAACACATGACCTCCTCTACAAGTTCACAAACAAGATAGTAAAGCGTTTACATGTGATTAACTATTACTATAATCACGTTCCTCCCACTGAGAGGTTTGGGAAATTCTGGTCAATTGGATCTCAATACTGAGCTGTGACGAAATTACAGAAAGGTTCAGCATGAATTGCGCCGCAATGGAGCTTCGATTTTTTTCTCGCTATCTGAGCCCATGTTCGCCTGGCGCCAACTGTGTTTTGCGTGGTCACTTGTTATATAAACTGTTTTCTGCAATTGCCGCTCGTCATCTGCATACCTCTTTACTCCTTTTTTTCTCTCTCTCTCTCTCTCCTCAATCAATTGAGGAGTTTCATTTTTCACATCTCCCGGTTATTGCATATGTAAGTGCTTAGTTCTGCTTGGCAATATCGAAATAGCTAGAGTTTGGGCATTTCTAATTGGAATAGTAAAATTTAAAATTTTTCGTTGATAGTCCCGCATTTTTCAGTACATTCTCTGGTATCAACTACATCAATTGCTGTACCTGTTAAATGAACAAATTGTACATCCTAATTTAATTATCATATTGTTAAAGTTTCCTTTTTCATATTGCTTTTTTTCTGAACTGTTAACAAGTTTAATTTAAGTTTCTAGTTCAAGCACCCAATTGGGTTGTTAGTTTTTTTTTGTTAATGTCAATTGCCTTATGCTCAATATTCTCTCTATTTACTTATTTTTTGGGTGGTGAGGCAGAAAATAAGTTCTTGGAGGAGTATACTGTATACTCCAATAAAATGAGACAGGCCATTTTCCTGCATTTTTTCTTTGGAATAATGGCTTCGTTGAGTCTGTTTTGGGTGAATGCTGATGACCCATACAGATTTTATACATGGGAAATCACAAAAGGAACAATTGCTCCTCTTGGTGTTCCACAAACAGTATGTGTTCTATACCTCTTTTTTGCTGTTGTTGATGTTTGTTTGTTTAATCATAATTACTATACTCATGTGTCCTTTCCCTCTATGTTTTGCAGGGCATCCTTATCAATGGGCTGTTTCCTGGCCCCAACATTGATTGCGTAACTAACGACAACATAATTATTAATGTCATTAATAAGCTGGATGACTCTTTCCTCATTACATGGTGAGTCCTTTCTTCTCTCAGGCTATGAGTCTAAGGAAATCACCTTCTTGTGGATTGTTAGATCTTCTGGATAATAATTTCTTGCCAGACAACAGATTTACATTTTAGTGTCTTATTTGTAGAACATGACAAGAGGTCCAAATCATTGGCTAAACATTCGTCACACATGGTCAGCTCATGTCAAAATTTCAGTTGCAAGCACATTTTGGACTCGACTAATCTTTGACATTATGTAGAATTGCAAAAAGCTATATGTGACGGTGTAATAATGTATAGGCACCGGCTCGTCATTTGTATAAAGCCTTGGCAAATGCAAATAAATGATGCCAAAATCTGCATTATATTGAGTATTGAATTGAAGGAAAAAATACATACTTCTCTCTTTTTTTAGCAGATAAAAATAAATAGAAAAAGATTTTTCTTTCTTTCTTCAACCCGTGCAAAGATTCTGTCTGGAAGTCATATAGATTGCATGATGGTGTTCCCAACTAGGGCCATAAACTTGGACTATTCTTAGTTTATGTACTCAACAGTGCTCTGTTAGCTGCTCATAGATAGAAATTTGGATGCATAGAAGAAAGTAGACTTTCATAAAGATTATGTTTAATATGACACGTCTTTCTTCTGCTGTTTGCACTATGATATTTAAATTTTAAACCAAAAAATAAGAAGAAAGGTTCTTTTCCTTTATTTTTTGGTCCATAATTATATGTTTTTCACATTGTAATGTAGCTCTTCTCACTGTGGAGTCTGAGGGTCAAATGTATATAGCATTATCTCCGCATGCGGAGAAACTATTTTCGTGATTTGAACCCTTGATGCAGAGGACACAATTGAGCAATCTTACCGTCGCACCAATGTCCATCTATATTTCGAAGCTTGTATTTGCAAATTATAATTACTGCTCATAACTGATGCCTTTGTGGTGAAAATCAGGAATGGGATCCAACAGAGAAAGAACTCATGGCAAGATGGAGTGCTCGGAACAAATTGCCCAATACCTCCAAACTCAAACTGGACATACAAGATGCAAACAAAAGATCAGATTGGGACTTTCACATACTTCCCTTCGACGTTGATGCATAGAACTGCAGGTGGTTTTGGGGGATTCAATGTTGTCGAAAGGCCCCTAATACCGGTGCCATATGACAATCCTGCTGCGGGATTCACTGTGCTTGTCGGCGATTGGTGGAAGTCTGATTCCAAGGTATGTAACTAATGAACTTCTACTAAGATTATATTTTTCTGGATAACCATTGAAGTCGAGCACTATTTCAATACTAATTAAACGGATATGCATTACCACAGTTGAAAATGCTCATGGCTGGACCTTTTTGGGGCTGGGGGTTGAGTTTTCCTTGCTTTATTTTTTCTAGGTGATTGGTCCTTGGTCTAAAGTTACTAGTTTCATGCAGGGGCTTGTGCTCAAATACTATGTAAAACAATAGTCCATATTTGTTTATGATGCATGTAACTATCACATGGCTTGATTTTACTGCTACAGAGTTGTTTAATACAACCCTTGTGCATTCTCACATACATTGTCCTCGAGTTTCATATGCTGAAAGCTTGAAGTAGCTTAAGATAACTTACTTCCAGTAATATATGTTCCTGAGGTGCACTTACGCTGTATTTGGCAGCATCTATGGGCCGTAGAACTGGAATTGAAGAAAAATTAGATTTACGAGTCAACTGATTTTTCTTTGATTTCAATACAAAGTCCCCAAATCCTTTGCTGCTAATTTAAACTTTTTTTTTTAGTCTGAGAACTAGCATATTACATCTGCTCTGAAACCAAGATGTAAGCTTGACATAGAGATCCTAATTTCGATGTCGAAATCCAAATTGAATACAGTGCCTTTTCACAAGTTTCAACAGGGGAGGTCCCAATATTTGTATATTTTTTCTTTGGGAATATTTTCTTGTAAGGGGTGATAACATGGGTAGCTAAAATGCTAAATTAATCTGAAAATTTGACTTGCAGGAATATGAGGCTATTGTCCCGATTTTTTTGACTTACCTAAGATATTTGGTGTGAGTGTAAAGAATAGTCCTTTGAGCAAGATCGGAAAGCACACTTGTAGGTTCAGGACATTGAAGCAGACTTAGTCTCTTTGTTTGTTGACAATTCTGACTTAACATCTGGGGGTGTAGACAGGAGGCAAGGTTTAAAATTTCATTTTGAAACGATCGAAACAGTTGAAACATTTTCGTTTCCAAAGAGACCGAAACGAATTATGGAATCGAAATTCTAATATTTCGAGGTGTTTCATTATGATTCGAGGTGTTTCGTAATGTTTTGACGCATTTATACAATTATTTTAGAATGTTTGAAGGTGTTTTAAGATGCTTTGGCTTATTTCGACCAATATTTTGAAAAATAATTCTCAAATTTTTATTTGTTTCTATTTTGTTTTCGAACAGGTCGAAATGTTCTCATTTCCTAAGTGAAAGAAACAATGTATCGAAACAAAATTTTGATCTTTGTCTGGATATCTTCACATTGTCATTTTCTTGAGCATACCCCTTGATATTTATAGACAGGGATAGTAATTGTATCTAGCTCTTATAAGAGAAGTAAAAAGAAACCAGCATAACGCTTTTTTCGAGCAGATGAGAAGAATTTTGCTGGCTCAGAGAATAGATTGCAATGCTTGGAGTCACAGTATACAATTAAATGCTTCTCCCACTCCCACCTTCCCTCTGTCAACAAATAAATGAACCCTGATATTAGATGCCTGTTTTGGCCTTTCAACTTTCATTTGACTGTGTTAATAGATTTGATGACTGGACATCCAATTAAGGTTCTTTTGTTTGCCAAGAGGATTTATTTTGGATAACATCTCATGCTTGCAGGCATTAAAAGATAGACTGGACTCAGGAATTCCTTTTCCATTCCCCGATGGTATTCTTATAAATGGGCATCCTAATTCTACTTTCTTCACTGGTGAAAAAGGTAACTATCTCCCCATCATTGTCTTCATCTTTCTGATGCCATTTGGAATTCTGTTCTGCAAGCCTGAATTATGATTTGGGTTCTTTCCTGTTAAAGCTATCTAAAATGAAGTTCTACATATTTTAACCTTTAGGTTTGGTTATGTTTCAGGACAATCATACCTGTTCAGGGTGTCAAATGTTGGCTTAACAACTTCAATCAACATTAGGATCCAGGGCCATCCCCTGCTACTGGTAGAAGTTGAAGGATGTCATACTATGCAGGAAGTGTATGAATCATTTGATATTCATGTTGGCCAATCTGTGGCTTTTTTGATCACCTTAAATGCACAACCGAATGGTTATTTCATTGTTGCTTCAACTCGTTTTACGAATCCAATTCTCAATGCCACTGCAATTCTTCGTTATGCTGGTTCTGTTAGTGAAGCCTCTGGACCATTACCCATCGGTCCCACTTTTCAGATTGACTGGTCTATGAAGCAAGCAATAACAATCCGGTAGAGTGTGTCCTTCGACTTTGTCCATTATCATCTTCTCAGCATGTGCATCATAAAAAAAAAAATTAACCTTTTTATTTCTCCTGTGAAGATCGAATTTGACAGCAAGTGCAGCTCGGCCCAATCCTCAAGGATCATATCACTATGGGACGATACAGGTCAACAGGACACTTGTGCTAGCCAACTCACTAACTCGAATAAATGGCAAGCTACGTTATGGTGTTAATAAAGTCTCTTACATTGAACCAGACACTCCACTGAAGCTTGCTGACTGGTTTAACATCCCCGGTGTCTTCAATTTGACTACAATAAAGGACAAGCCTCGTCCAGTCCCTGTAACTCTTGGCACCTCTGTCATAGGCATCAATCTTCATTACTTTGTGGAAATTGTCTTCCAAAACAATAAGAACACTATCCAGTCATGGCATCTTGATGGTTATGCTTTCTGGACTGTTGGGTAGGGCTCTACATTTTTCATTTTTTTTTTCTTTCTAAAAGCTATTTGTTTCTATTATTTTCTTTTCTTATACTCTTCATCCAATTCGCTTGTCTTCCGACTTTCATCAATTGTTAACCCTGGACAACATTTTAAATTTGGTGCCTATGCATCTTGAATTCTTATAGTGGTTATTTAGATAAAGCAAATGCGCAAGTAATCTGATTTCATTCCACAACTAGTGATGTGCGGTTTTGTAGGTTACGTTGAATGTTAAAAACTCCAATCATCTAATTTTTACTATTGGTCTTCAAATCCCAGATTTGGTTTTGGCAAGTGGAATATTAGTATGAGGGAACAGTACAATCTCGTTGATGCTCCCACCAGATATACGGTTCAGGTAATCAACCTATTCTTGTTTGTGTTGTCCTATGGTTGAAGTGCTTATGTAAATTGAGAAGGATGTAGTTTTTTAGAAGTGAACATTTAAGTTATGCATGTTCCTTCTTGCAGGTATATCCTGAATCTTGGAGTGCAATATTGGTCTCAGCAGACAACAAGGGAATGTGGAACTTGAGATCTGCTATCTGGCCAAGCAGGTATCTAGGACAGCAACTGTATTTGAGAGTCTGGGATCCAGTGACGAGCCTGTTTAACGAGTATGACCCCCCTCCAAACCTGTTGCTTTGTGGCAAGGCTGCAAACTTATAGAAGAAATGGTTGCCAATATGACTTTGTAATCTTTTAGTTTGATGTTTCCCTTTCTGGTTCAGTTACGAGAGGGTGACTGTTGGAAACAGAAAGAGGAAAGAGAAGGAAAATGGGGGACGAAATTTAGTGTTTTACTGCCATGTGTCTTTATATTTCTTCTTAATTATATTGATAATGATTAATGAATAAATTTGTACTTAGTCTCGACTTTGCCGTGTGATCAAGTTGTTGAAATATATTGTACTGCTTTCTATTTTTTTTTTTAAAGGAAGACAGCTTAAAAAGCTAGTTGCAGTATCTTCTAAGCTAAAATACTTGCAGACTAAGCTGCCCTAGAATAATAAGGTAATTTGCATAATCATGAGATGCATTTTCAAAACAGCCACACTCATTTAAACTTCTGAATGCATGTCAAATTAATTCTTTTCTCTTATTAGGGTTGTCCATGGGCCGGGTCAAGCTAGACCTGTGAAATTTTTTTTAGGCTATACTTAGTAGCGTAAGACAAAACCCTTGGATGAACTAACAGCCAAGTTTTGGGCAGGATAATGGGCTTGGGGTAGACGTAAGCCCTTTCTCGAAGGATATTGATATTGAGCTCGGGTTTAAACAAGTTAACTATCAAGTCTATCGAATTTCGGACTTATTTTTTGGGACAGGTAACGGATCTTGTGACTACCCGACCCATGGGCACCCTAGGCATCCTCTTACCGTTAAATCACTATACCATTAAACCACTAGGTAAAACGGGAAGAAGAAGAATCAGAAACAAGCAAAAGCCAACCAGTTTATAAACTAAAGGTACTACTGCCTTAAAATCAGTGTTTTGATCTAACAAATGACATAATATTTTCCATTACAGTGTATTGCATGTGCATATAACTGAGAAAAACATATCATCATCAATCTGCTGGGTGACAAAGATATCAAGAAAACATAAGATATCACAAATAAATCGAACCTCATCTATCGCATGGGTCGATGCCGTCTTGGCTGTTGGTTATGAATTGCTTGGACATAATGACATGTCGAATGATAAAATTTCTAAAATTTAACAGTTACTATTAAAATAATACTATTAGACAATTTTATTGCCACATCATCATTAGATTAGTAAATTAAATTAATTTTTTTGGTTCTAATACAATTAATCATTTTAAAAAGCCTTGCAATGAGGGAAAATTATTAAGGGTTAATTACAAATATTCCCTTTAATTTTGGGTCATGTTATAATCAGCTCTCCCATTGGTTTCATTTTTTTTTAAAAGAAAAGTAAACCCCTTTTGTTTCTAAAGGATTTAATTGCAACATGACCGGACCATAAGTCAAACGGGATATTTTGTAAGGAAAATCTTATTTGGATATAAAAATCTGATCTAATGACGTAGTTTCATTGAAACCATTAGATAAACACCAAATTTCATTGTTTGATGGAGCCTACAGTTAATCCGTAGGTCATAGTAAATTAGGTCAATAAATTGAGTCTCAATAACATTGCTCAGTTTGTAATTAACCCAATATCAAACTACAAGCAAGCAGGCACAGCCCCTTCCAATTTTGTTTTTTTTTTTTTTTTAGGGTCTATAATGGGGCTTTGTATAGATTGGCGAATATAACGTGAATTGCTGATGATTACATTTAGATTCAAAGTTGACGTCTCGAGATAGTAATTCTGTAAAATTTTCCTCTTCTCATTCACCTTTGCCATCAGAGTTACCGCTGGATCTATTTGTCCTACTAGGTTTATGGCGCAAAGAATAGCATGAACCGTTGAGCAAGATATTGTCCAAAGCCCAGTATTTGTACTCTTCTTTTTCCAACTTAAAATCGCCAATTGCTTGAACGAAGCAATTTTTTCCTGCATCATGAATATGACTGTTAAAAATAGGCAGAGGGTTTCCATAAATACTGAGATCCGTAATTAAATTAATAATTATAATTAATTAAATCAACAAATCATATTAATATTTTAAGTCCATGTATACTAATTTTGGAGGTTTAATAGCAAGCAACTAACCCAAGCGAGTCAAGCAAGAGTAAGAATGCTTTAAATATCAAAGTACACAACGTTAAACTTCATGTTATGAAATTTACTTTACCCACCCCGTCTTAGACCCACCACCAACATTATCTCAATATTATTAAGTCCACCCCATTTTTCATTCACTCCATTATTATTTTGATAAATAATTTAGGGTTAATAACACTTTTAATTCTTAAAGTATATTTTTTTTGTCAGTTTAGTTTTCATTGTATTAATTTTGTCAATTTGATTCATAAAATATTCAATTCGTGCCATTTTAGTCTCTACATAAATAGACCTTTAAATTTTTGACAGAATAATCGTGTATTAGGCACGTGTTATAGTCTTAAAAAATGATACGTAGTCACTGCCGTTAAAAAACTTGACAAATTATCTGATTAAAGACCAAAATGATTTAAATTGATTACTTTATAGGCAAATTTGATAAAATTGATACAACGTAGACTAAATTAATAAAAAATACATATTTTAGGGATAAAAAATACTATTCATTTATCACACCCTCATTTTTCACTCACTATCCCATTCCTCCGTTTCCCTAAATCTAACCTAACCTCAACTCTCCTCTCCTTGACGCCATAGGCCCAATTGTTCCATGAGTGCTAGCTACTTTATTGGCTAAATCACACATAAATTTCATGTGCTTAGATGAGTTTTCTTCACATAATATGTATGAAGGATTTGTGGATGGATTCGATCAACTAGAATGTCTGGATAAAAACTAATAAAGTTATGTATAACTCAAGAAGGGGAAAATCTACCACCTTGCAGAGAAGAGGATTTCTTGATAATCAATGGATGTTCCAATTGATTTTTTGCTTATATTTGTTTTTATCCCACCATATGCTATATCTGTTAAACTTCTTCAATAATGTTTTCACTGTGTAGAACACTAAATTAAGCCAGTGTAATCACCCAAGCATGTAAAAATGGAGTAATAATACATTATTAATTTATTTTACTTTAAGTAGGATGATTGTGAAATGGTAGAGATTGGGTGGAGAATGGGATGGGAAAAGTTGATTACATAACCTTAGACTTAATAGGGTTGGATTTGAGTAATTATTCCCCCACCCCCAACTTCCATTTTTCTTAACATCTTAATCAAAGAAATCAAACAACTTCTATTTTTCTTAAAAACTAAATCAAAAACTATTAAGAATCAAATATTTAGGAAGGTGAGGAGGCCGTCGATAAGTATACTTTTCTCCCAAAAAGACAAAGACCTAATTTATTAATATAGATTGTTGACTAACTAAGTTGTGTCATTAGATGATAATAGGTTCTAACATTTGTTGAGCCCCATTATCATTCTAATGATAGTGATAAATTAGGTGGTCAAATAATATCAATGAATTATCTCTAAATAGTATTATTGAGGCCATAAATTGAACTCAAGGCTTGATCTTGGATCCCTTACAGACCACTATAAGCTGTCAAAGGCAACCAGTAGAGAGAGAGAGAGAGAGAGAGAGAGAGAGAGAGAGAGTTTTAGTTCTGCAAGGGAATATAACCTGTCAATTCGAAAGCCGGAGGCAAAGGCAGACACAAGTCTCTTACATAGTAGCAGGTGGAATGCTTCCTACTTGCTGTTTTGAGGAAACCCTTTAGAAAGGCTGCTTTTATCCCTTCATTTATCATCCACTTTAACACAAAACCTAACCCAACAGTGGAGTTCAAATCTCCTGTTCACCTGACATCCACACTATGCCTTCCTCGGAACAACCTTTACTAATATCTCAAAGTAAACCCTTAGTTCTTTAAGAGGTTAATTATCAAGAAGATATATCCTATATATATATATACACACACGTGTATATGCATATGGAATATTTTGAGTGTCATCCGAAAGAAATTTGTTAGTTTAGTACTAAAAAATCTCATATTCTTGTGAGTTGGGACATGAAATCTTCGCTCAACTATCAAGAAAAATTAAGTGGTGTCAATTTGTTTGAGGCATTAATTAAGAAAACTCATTGTATTTAATGTTAGATAAGAAAAAACGTTATTTGTATTTATTTTTGAGACCTAATTAATGATAAATATTGGATTAAAAATGAGTTTATTTAATATTAAAATTCACAACTAATCCAATCACGACAATAAATAACCCATTTGCTCCCTAAATTAGGTTCTCAGCAGCATTGCCCGTTAGATAAACGCCATGCAACATCAAGAAAGCACACAGAAACACCTAAAACCTTCCATTTTTAACACTTTTGGGGTTCCTTAATACAACCTCATAAACCAAACACACCTAGAAAACACGCATACATAAGAGAGAGAAACAAAGACACAAACTAATGCTAAAACCATGCTCATATGCCACACCCAAAACGACCACAACATTAATCAACAATCCCTATCTTATGAAGTTGAAAGTGAATATATAAAAAAAGGGCTCTTAAGGATATGCACCATTGGTTGTTGGTAAGTCAGACCATGAAAGCGTTGGATTGTTCCAGTAGCCCAATTCAGCTCCAGCAACTGGAGCTGAGTCCAAAATGGTTGAAGCAGGTGAAGATGAGGAAGCCACATTACCGAGAAGCACTGGTGAGTGTTCTGGGTAATACCCAGTTGATGATTTGAGTCTCTGATACAGTTCTTGAAACCCCGTGTTTTGAACTTCACTCAGAACGAAACCACTTTGCTGTTGAATCTGGTGGTTTTGCTGGTGCTGTTGAGCTTGATTTTGATTATTTCTCCAGAAAGAGCTGCACAGACCTATGGACGGAGCCTGGTTCATAGGATCAAAACCAAGAGCCCGAGCATTCAATGGACCAGGATGTCCAGAACCAACCATTGGCTCTGAGACCATGTGGGTTCCAATCATAACACCTTCATCTTTCATAGTAATGAAGTTTGAGATTGGATTAGGGTTAGGGTTTTGGGTTGCTCTCAGCAAGGAGAGAAGATGAGAACTCTGCGGTGAGGCCCATAGAATAGGATTCGGTGGAAGCTCATGATCGAACCCACTAATAAAACCCGATTTTCCAAACTCTGAGGACATGGTCTTCATCTTTCCGGCGCTTGACTTTCCGACCGGTGTTGTAACACTAGTGTTTTTGTTTTTCCGGCAACCGCCGCCGATGGGAACATTCCGAAGGGCTCCTCCTTTGGTCCAATATCGCCGGCAAGTCTTGCAGAAGTGACGAGGCTGAGTGAGGTTGTAGTTGTTGTAGTAACAGAACTTGGTATTCGAAGAATCGCATCGTGGGCATCTCAGATTCTGATTTTCCGACGTTGTTGTACTGGTATGGGCAGTAGTAGAAGAAGAAGGAGATGGTGAAGGTGAAGGAGAAGGAGAAGGAGAGAGAGAAGGGGAGCCTTGTAGGGCTCCAGGAACAGAGATTTTTCTCTCTCCTAATAATCCAGCACCTCCTAACAGTTCTTGAATCATCTTTTTTCTTCTTTGTGGATCTACAACAATCCAAAAACAAGAAAAGCAACAAACGTTAATTACTGTTTTTTAGTGGTGGAAAAGCTCAAAAAAGTAGGTTGTGTTGTAGACAACTGTGTAATCTATTGGAGGGATGAGAGAGATGGAAACTTGGCCAAGTTTTTTTGGGTAAAGGAATGGAGGAACGGGGGTGGGCAAGCTTTAATATAGATGCATCAGAGAGAGAGAGAGAGAGAGAGACCACTTTGCCTCTCTTATGCGAGCAAGTGGTTTTAAACAACAAAATAATTGATGTATTTCTTGCCCTGATAATGTGTTTTTTTTTTCCGATGCTTACGAGTGTTTAGGCAAGTAAACGCAGTCAAAGCTAGGTCTTCCAGGCCTAGTCGACTAATTCTATTTTGGTTTAGTTAAAAATAAGTTATTCGCGTTTACAGTAGAGATATCATTAAAGATAAAATTTTTATGACTTAATTTCAAAAAATTATCAAAATTTAAATTCAGAATATGAATTTACAGCACATTTCTGTTACAACTTAATATACCCTTTTGGATTTAATGATCCGTCAAGTGATAGAGTTTTAATGAAAAAAAATAATATTATTAGAACCTAAATAATTGACTAAATTTATTAACATAATAATGTATTAAGTGACAGAATCTCAGCGAATAAGTAAATGAACCACATCACTATCACATCATTAAGCTAATAAATTAAATCAATTTTTTAAATCTCAATAACATTATATATGCCAATGAAAAAATCTAATATTTACGGTCACAATAATTTTATTAAATTATATCATTTCCACATCATTAAATTATCAATTTTTTTAGATCTTATCAACATTATTTTTTGTTTTTTTAGATCTGGTTTTGGAATTTGGTTTCTGGTGCGTTTTGGAGGGAAGTAAATGGCTCTTTCTCCTTTTCCAAATCTTCGATTCTAATCATAACTTTTTCGGTTATGAAAAATCAAATTGATAGGATCACAAAATTACTCTCATGATCCAATGACAAATGAGAAGATATATTAACAAATTGATGATCTAAACACACTTTTATTTGCTGTTTTCCATATGGATTTATGATTTCCAATATTATGGATGATATTTTTTTAGAAAAAATAAAAAAAATTAGAAAATCTGTCAATTCGAAATGAAATCAACAATTGGATATAAGTTAGGGTTGGAATCATCGCTTCACAAATGAGTAAATATAAATGTGACAATATACACTATTAACTCAACTCTACACGGTTTATGCATAATATGAACTCAATTCTTTACAATTACAAATTATAGAAATACGTAATCTCAAAGGGTAACTTAAGTGGTAATAGAGAAAGACTGTAAATCAAAACGTCATGAATTCGAATTTTAACAACTCATTGGGACTAAAATATGAAAAATTTATCATTTATAAATACCTTAATATTTCGACATAGATTGTTCGGACCGAAGAGGATATTAGTTGAGGTATGTATAAATTGGTTCGAACATTCCTGATCGTTAAATTAAAAAATAAAATTATAAGAATACATTGAATAAATTTTAATATAATTCAATTCAAATATGATACGTTGTATTGAACCCTATACATAATATTTCAAAATATTAAAGAAAAAATAACTTTTATCTTCCATTTTTACTCCTTTGCACAACAAACATAATCTTCTCCATACCCCATATGGTTCAAATTTTTGCTTTTGCAATCAAACTTTGAATTAGGCTCTTCCCAATGAGAATCTTAGATTATGATAAAAGTGGTGTTGCATTATACCCACATTCGAATGGATTGGCAGTTTTATATAATTTTTGTGGGTGAAGTGGAGAGAAGAGGTGGGATTAAGAATGAGAATAACAATCAAGTTTCCCAAAAGAATAATCTTTGTTGGGGCTTTGTGCTTCATTCTTGAAGATTCTGTTCAAAAACAATCATTACCAGTTCAAGGAGAGGGCTTATCACGTGGAAATACGTGTAAAGTTTATGTCCCTACCCCCAACTAGGATGCCACTCACCCGAAACTTATGGCTTGAATTTTGCCTATCCATAAATACATATTATTTTGGGTTTAAATTGAATTAATTTACGTGTATGTTGACTAATTTGTTTTTCTCATCTGATCTAAAATAGGATTATTTATGTCAGGATTAAGGTATTCATGAGAGACCCTAGTTTTAAGAATTACTAAAATTTGAACTCAAAATGTCCAAAATTATAATTCGTTCCTAATTCCACTTGAATTGCAACTTGTCACTGTTATTACATATGTCCTAATAAAAAATAAGAATGAAAACGAATTGATTTTAAATAGGGTTTGTGTTGGGAGAAAATTTTATATCCGTTTAACACACTATCTGTCAATATCAAGTGGTGTGCACAATCAATGACATGTCAAAGACACAGGTTTATATGAAGAATATGTGTGCAATGCATGGCTCAATCACGTACAGTAGTAAGATAGGATCGATGTGGTCTGAAATCTACCATGCTCATAACTTTGGAACCAAGAAAGATACTAGCACTAACAAAGTGATGGTTAAGAGAAATATAAGAGGAATTTCTATAGTCACATATTAGAGCATGAACATGCTTTTGGTTGGGATTGGTGATTTGGTGGAATTGATAATGATTGAATTCAAAGCAGAATAAAGGGTTGGCTTTGCTTGCTTTGTAATTTGATGTCTACACAACATGATAAAAGGGACAAACTTACTATTCACCCATTGGATTTTCAGGTACTTACACCATTATTTTTGTTTGTATCGAATAATTGTCCTTATTATACGTCTTTTGGGTTTGTAGCCGTAAAACAAATCCCAAATATATAATCACCCACAAAAAGCACACTTTCCCATCTAAACTATACTCAACATGTTGATAGGAACAAATTTAACCAAACTAAGCCTTTCACTTATGCTCAAGAATAAGTAAATCCAACAGTCACCCATGACACTTTTAACTGTGAGGTCACGGAATAAAATCTCGTCAAAATTGATTTCTTCTCTCATCTCTCTCTTTAGTTACCCCCTCTTCTATTCCTTTGTATAAGTTCTCTTTTATTTATCTTTGAATGTTCTCTCGTCTACCCGTAATATATATGATATTGATTGTACCATTGCTATACATTATACATACATAGTGTCAATTAAAAAAAACAAAGAAAATTACACAACAGTGGGAAGATATATCTTGAAATACAGAAAAGATAATTCCTAATTGCTGATTTATCTTATTGGTCCACCGGGAATAATCAAAAGGAGTGTTATGAGACAGCTCAATGAAATGGTGTAGAAAGGTTACCAGATTTGACTGGCAAACTAAGTTTTGTTCACACATAACATGAAGTTGGTGATGAATTCTCACTGAAAGATGTAGAAAAGACAACCCCATACAAACGGGGTTGAAAAATGGATTAGGTATCTGTTCAAGTCTGCGTTCTTACTCTATTTTACCTACCAACAGGAAAATAAGACAATCTGTAAATCAAGTTGATGTACCCCTCCTCCACTTTCTACTCATCAAACTTGGGCTCCACAACAGATCACATTATGTCGAGTTCATATTATGTTAAACTTTAGGACAAGTCTATGGTATTGGGAAAAAAAAATATTTCGGCACCATATAGTCATTTATCACTTTGGTGGATATTTTTATTATTGTTGTGGTTTTTGCGATCAATCCTAAAGATAAAAACACCCACAAAAGTGAAAAAATCATGCAAAAAAGTTATAAATTTTTTTGTTATAAAATGACTCACAAAAATTATAAAAATATCCATTAAAGTGGTAAAAATTTGGAGGTATGATACTGAATTATTTTTTTTTTTTTGATATCGTAGTCAAGTCCTAATGTTTATGTCAAAATTTGTTTAGTTCATTCTGGACTCATTCATAATTGTGTATAATAGATTTCAAATCGAATTATGTTCGTATCATTTATAAGTCATGTTTAAAATGAGTTTGTGTCAATCTATTTATTTACGGGTGTAATGAGTCAACTCGTTTATCATCCAAACCCATTACGACTAAACCCTCGAACTCGCAAATTTCATTTCAATTTCATACATGATTCAAAGATTGTGTCTGAAAATGCTAGGGCTACTAATAACATTAAGAAACTATAAAAGGAGTGCTTGTGAACACAAGCTTTAACGTAATATAATGATACTCCAGTGTGAATAAGGCATCTTCTGTATAACTGTAACTTTGGCACTTTTCAAACATGTTTGATTGAATCCAAGGAACAAAATTAATATTCATTAGAGAATTTATGGGGAAATAAAACACTGTAACATAGTCTTCATCATAAACTTCTTGAAAAAATAAATAATAATAATAGAAAAGGGAAACATGTTAAGAAGATTCCTGTAACTGCAAAATGTGGGGAGGCCGGATATAGAGGAAACTTATCATTGTATCAAGCACCGCCCTAGATGGTAATGAAAATACTAATAAACATAGAAATAGTTCCAATACTGGTAGTAATAAAGGGTAAGGGTTGGGAGAATGAGGGGTCTACATGTCTACGTTTGTGGAATAATTGTCAATGACCATGCCAATGATACACATAATTGATTATGAAAGGTGAATCTTATCACTTGCATAAGAAGATAACATTAGAAACCAATGTGTGATAGCTGATTTCTTGTATATCTGATTGATCCTTTTCTAATGACAAAGTCTAGAATAGATTGTGTGAATAAGTTAATCGAGCAGACTAGTTTGATTTTCGTTTCAGTGGATTATTTAGTCCGCCCGCCAACAATTTATATGGGGGTTGAACATGAGTCCAAATTCGTCTCAATAGCTCTCCGAACTAGCGCAATTGCATAGGGATCGGAGCACCAAAAATATTGAACCTAATTAATTCGACACCTTATTCCTTGTGAAATATATATGATAAAAACAAGAAAACTGAAGTTTATGCACATCTCGATTAATCCCTTTTTTGATCCAGTTAAAAACAGGTTATCCACGTCGGAACTAGAGTATTCACGAAAAATAGATCTCTCATGACTTAATCTCAAGAAGTTGTCAAGATTCGAATTTATGACATCTAAGTAGACAATATATTTTGCTATGCAAAATTGTAAAATTAAACTTATCAATTCTAGACATGACAACTATTAGACTTGATATGATCAAATCAACACCTAATTTATAAATTTGAATTTAATCTTATTAGATTTATGAAGTAAAACGTGT